TGAGACTCCAACTCAAAAAAAAAAAAAAAAGAAACTTACTAATTTGGATAGACTTAGTAGCATAGGAGTGGTAGTAATTACATTTCAATTTAAAAAGCTGACTGTTATTTAGTGAATAATAGGTACCCATGTTGGTACAGTGTGCTGGGTGCTAGTGACAGAAGAAAGAATTTGGTGCAGTCTGTCCTCAATGACTTGCTGGCAGTCCAGTGGGGAGGAGAAGCTCTTGTCTGCCCTGTCTCTAACCAAGGTAGAATGTGGCTCTTGGTTCTCAGGATATACTGTAGAAAGTGGTAAGATACAGTGCTGGGGATTCCCTCCCTCATCACATTAATAATAACTAAAGGTTAAAAATGCTTTGGGGCCATTTTTGGCATTCTGTTTTTATTGTTGTACTTCCCTTTTCAGTAAGATAGATAGTGACCATAACAGTGCTTACTGCACTGGCATTATTCTAGGTCAGAGGTCAGTGAACTGTCACCGGCAGCCTGTTTTTGTATGACTCCTGAGCTAAGGATTTTTTTGTTTGTTTGAGTAGGAGTCTCACTCTGTCACTTGGGTTGGAGTGGAGTGGTACGCTCACAACCACCTCAGCCTTGACCTGCTGGGTTCGGGTGATCCTTCTGCCTCAGCCTTCCAAGTAGCTGGAACCACAGGTTCATGCCTCCATGCCCAGCTGATTTTTTGATTTATTGTAGAGGTGAGGTCTTGCCAAATTGCCCAGGCTGGTCTCGAACCCCTGGACTCAGGCAATCCTCTCGCCTCCACCTCCCAAAGTGCGGAGATTATAGACATGAGCCACTGTGCCTGGAGTTTTTTACATCTTTAATGGGTTGTTGGGGCAGGGAGGAGAAAGAGTACACCACAAACTGTATGTGGCCTGCAAAGCCTTTATTTACTGCTTGCTCCTTTACAGAAATGGATTGCAGAATCTTGGTCTAAATACGTATAATAAATTTGATCACTGTAGTGGGTGTGTGTAAGGATTCTTGTTACTTGTTCTCTCCTAAAATTGGAGAAACCATGTGCTTTAATCTTTCTTTAAAGCTAAAATGTAAAGATTTCAGTAATGGTCTCAACATTAAAAAAAAAAAAAACTGAATCTGTGGTCAGAATCACTATGAGCAAATGACCACTGTACTTTGCTTCCTCAGTTTGTAGGATAGGGAATTAATAATAGTACCTACTGCAAGATTGTGAGAATTAAATGATATATTTGAAGTCCTTAGCATAATTGGAACTGAAACCCTCAGTAATTTAGGCTATTTTGTGTCCAGTGTTTCTTACAGGTGAAAAAAAATTATTCAGTGAGTAGGAGGCAGCTTTTCTATGTTACACAACTATTAATACTTGATCAGGCCAGGTCTCCCTCTTACAATCTCGGCACTTTGGAGGCTGAGGTGAGAGGACTGCCTGAGCCCTCGAGTTCAAGACCAGCCTGGGCAACTTGGCAAGATCTCATCTCTCCAGTAAATAAAAAAATTAGCCAGGCATTGTGGTGCATGCCTGTAGTTCCAGCTACTTGGAAGACTGAGGTGGAAGGATCACCTGAAACCAGGAGGTCAAGGCTGCAGTGGCCAAGGGTGTGCACTCTACCCTGGGTGACAGAGTAAGACTCCCAATTCAAAAAAAAAAAAAAAGTTGATTTAAGACTAAAAATCAGGTATCTTGTTAGCAGTGCCTACAATATCTGTGTAGTCATTTAACAAGTTGCAACTAGATTGATTTGTATCCAAATCATAGTATTCTATCTTGGTTGAAACTGCATTTTTTGCTGTCAAGTTTTTTCCTGAAATCCAGATACACATTAGTCATGTTATTCCTTATAAGGCTGGTTTAGTGTCAACAAAATAAATTAGTTCTTTGTTGTCTGGCATGACTTGATTAGTGAGCCTATGTTCATTGTAACTTTTGTTCTGTATGTTATTAGATAATAGAACTACTATTGAACAGAGTGGGGAGGGTGGGGCAGGAAATCTGTTTTTCCTCCATTGGTTCTTGCTCCTAGTATCAATGTAATTCTAAACTCCAGGTCAAAACTAAAAACCTAAGATTATTCTCTACTTTCCCCTCACTTCTAACATTCAGTTATCCACAAAGTTTTTCCCATTTTAAGAAAGATGTCTCTAGCCGGGTTCGGTGACTCAGCCTGTAATCCCGCGCTTTGGGAGGCTGAGGTGAGTGGATTGCCTGAGCCTGCGGGTTCAAGACCCGCCTGAGCAACTTGGTGAGACCTCATCTCTGCAATAAATCAAAAAATTAGCCAGGCGTGGCAGCGCGCGTCTGTAGTTCCAGCTACTTGGAAGGCTGAGGCGGAAGGATTGCCAGAACCCAGCAGGTCGAGGCTGCGGTGGCTGGGAGCAGCCACTGCACTCCAGTCTGGGAGACAGAGTGAGACTCCAACTCAAAAAAGAAAGAAAGAAAGAAAGAAAGATGTCTCAAATATCTCCCTCAACCTTGGCCCCTTTGTCCAGGCCTCCATCTGTCCTAGTTTAGGCTTCTAGAGTAACTTTTATAACTAACTGGCTGATCTCCTCTTGCATTCAGAGTTACCACCTAAAGTCCTTAGTTCATATTAGGATTCACTCTTTGTGGTGGTGTACATTCTATGAGGATTTTTTTGTGGTCATTTTTATGATCTCAAGGAAAGTTAGGAATTGGAAATGGTGAAGAGGAAATGATTGAGGGTGAGATGAGAAAGTAATTCCTCCTTCTGTTGGTGACCATGCTCTAGAGGTAAGAGTTGATGGTGTGTTGGAACATTGTTAATGTTTAATAGAATAAGGAGTGGCAGAGTATGTGTTGCCAGTCACTGCCACCCTCTTACTTCAGGTCACACTTTTGTTTCTTTTTTTTTTTTTTTGAGTTGGAGTCTCACTGTCGCCCAGACTGGAGTGCAGTGGCCGCTCCCGGCTACCACAACCTCAACCTGCTGGGCTCCAGTGATCCTTCCGCCGCAGCCTTTTGAGTAGTTGGAACTATAGGCACTCGCTACCACGCCTGGCTAATTTTTTGATTTATTGTAGAGATGAGGTCTCGCCTGCCCAGGTGGGTCGCGAACCCGTGGGCTCAGGCAATCTGCTCACCTCAGCCTCCCAAATGTGCGGGATTACAGGCTGAGCCACCAAGCCAGCACACTTTTGTTTCTTAATGCTTTTTTTGTGTGTCTCATGTAGGTAGTAAGGTTACAGCTGTTTGCAACTGCTTAGTCTTTAAAGCAGAGATCATGGTGGCATGTGTTTTTGTTTTTCCAAATTTCCTAGTAGCTCATTGGCAGCCAGAAAGTCTCTGGGAAAATAAGAGGGAAGTGATGCTTCGATGACCAGGCATAATTTTAATCTAACTTGTTTGATTTGGTTCTGTCTTGCAGGAATGACACCAAGGAAGATGTATTTGTACACCAGGTGAGTGCTTGTGTAGATATTTGCACTTCTGACTCAAGGCATGTGACAAGAAAAGGGTGGATATTTTTTCAACTGTTCATTGCAAAAGGTTAAATTCAAACACCAATTTATTTAGCTCCTACAGGAAGGGTAGTGGCTTGCTTAAAATATATACATTGAAACATTGTATTGAAGTTTACCTAATTAAAAAGGTATTTCAAATTGGTATTGTTGATAGTGGTAGCTTTGTAAATGTTGAATTTGCTCGACTCATTGCACTAAATTTTCATAACTAATTTGAACAGAAAACCTACATGATTCTAAACTTGAACTAATAATTTTGCTATAAATATACAGAAACTTTGGCAAGAAGTTTTCAAATGCTGTTAGGTCTGCCTGTAGAGATAAATCACCATAATCATGGGGGAAATAGGACAGAACCACAAAACAGTGATTTTTTAAAAGTTGAGTACTAGCGAAGTAAGTAGCATATAGGTTCTATGTATTCTACAGCATTTGGTAGTGTTTTTTGTTTGTTTGTTTTGTTTTGTTTTTGTTTTGAGTTGAAGTCTCACTGTTGCCCAGGCTGGAATGCAGTGGCACGCTCACAGCCACCCCAGCATTGACCTGCTGGGCTCTGGCAATCTACCCACCTCAGCCTCTCAAGTAGCTGGAACTACAGGCATGTGCTACCATGCCCGGGTAATTTTTTTGATTTATTGTATAGATGAGGTCTCGCCAAGTTGCCTGGGCTGTTCTTAAATCCACAGTCTCAGGCAATTAACTCACCTCGGCCTCCCAAAGTGCTGGGATTATAGGCTGAGCCACCGAGCCCAGCCTAGTGCTTTTTTTGGTAACCTCTGGAGAGTTTTGACTGACTTGGAAAAATGAAAATTCTCAGTAGTTTACAGTTGAGTGAAAGGCAATGTGGCAGAATTGGTAATTGCTTGTTAAATAATTTTTTGTGAGTTGAGGTCTCATGGTTGGTCCGTGCTTTTTAGACTGGCTTCCTAATATTTTGGTAGGAGAAAACTAACATAGCACAAGTACTACAGGCTGAACTTTATCCTCAAGGAATAATTTAAGGAAAGTGTTATCGAGAGTGCCTTGACATTAAGGAATTAAGATAATTACTAAAGTAAGTCACTGCCAAGTGAATGCTAGTATCTCAAACTTAAGTGTGTTATAGGCTCCATTGGATTTATTCATCTTCACAGGTATAAAATGTGTAGGAAAAACACGTTTGTGTATTTGTACTTCTGTACTATGCAGTTCTTCACTAAGAACTTTTAATTTTTATTTTTTGAGTCAGAGTCTCACTCTCACCACACTGAAGTGCAGTGGTACACTCATGGCCACCACAGCCTCGACCTGCTGGGCTCAGGTAATCCTTCTACCTCAGCCTTCCAAGTAGCTGGAGCCACAGGTGCAGCCACCACGCCTGACTGATTTTTTGAGTTATTGTAGAGATGAGGTCTCACCGTGTTGCCCAGGCTGGTCTCAAGCCTGTGGGCTCAGGTAGTCCTCTCGCCTCTGCCTCCCAAAGTGCTGGGATTACAGGCATGAGCCACTGCGGCCGGCTATTTAAAAATTTTTTTTTTCCTTAGGAAATAAAACTTATTTAGAAGGTAAATGAGAGGCCAAGCGCAATGGCTCACCTATAATCCCAGCACTTTGGGAGGCTGAGATGAGAGGATTGCCTGAGCCCACGGGTTCAAGACCAGCCTTGGCAACTTGCTGAGACCTCATCTCTACAATAAATCAAAAAATTAGCCGGGCATGGTGGTGCATGCCTGTAGTTCCAGCTACTTGAAAGGCTGAAGTGGGAGGATCGCTTGAACCCAGCAGGTTGAGGCTGCAGTGGCCGGGACCTTGCCACTGCCCTCCAGACTGGGCAAGAGCAGGAGACTCCAACTCAAAAAAAAGAAAGTAAATGAGAGAGGGGAGAGTTGCTTCCTCAAGGTAGGGGTGGGGGCCAAGGTCAGGAAACATGACGACAGTCATAAGTCAGAGAGCACATGGCCACACCATAGCTTAGTAGGACAATGGCTAGCTTAAGAACTTTTAAACCACCTTTTTTATACTATAATCCAGAAATCAAAAGACCTACAGTCAGTTTTCATACTCTTATTTATTCAGGCAGATAATGAGCTTGGATAGCAGCATGCTTCATAGAAAGGGCTGTCACAGGTTGAAGCTTTATAGCTCTCTGAAATGTCCTATACAGATTCAATGACAGCAAAGGGGAAGCCATATCAATTTCTAGTACAGCCAAAGCCCTATCAGATAGTCCTCAGGGTCAGATGTATGTATGGAAACATTGAAATTCTAAATGTAAAGAAGTACAGGACTGCACAGACAAAATGTATTTTAAAGTAAATGTTTTATAAAATTGATGGTCTTGTTGGGGTGAAGTCAACTAACCTGTTCCTTACTTCTCTTCTGCATGTTCAAAAGAATATGTAGACTTAGGAACAAAAGACAGCAAGGCTTATCAGTCTTGCTGTCTGTCAGCAATCTTTGGGGTAGGATGGGGAAGTAGAGATGTTGACTAAAAGGAGTTTGGGGACTTTAATTATCCTTGCTTCTGCTATCCCCTGTGACTGCAGGTAATTGATAGTTGACTACATGCGAAAGGCATGAAAATTATGTGCCAGTTTAGATGACAGATGAGATCAATTATTCGACTCAACTCACTCAGTTGTACTGATTGACAGGTGTCACCAATATACTTTCCTCTTTATTTTGGAAGTCGTTTCAACATGTAGTTGTTTCTTGGTACTTTGTCTGGCTGCTCAGGTCTTAGTGGTGTATCAAGGAAACTGCAGCTCTGGGCAACTTAGTTTAACTGGCCTTAGATTTGTTGGTTGTCCTGCCTCCTCTGGAATGGAAATGCATGAGTGATCCTGTAGTAGATACTGCTGTGATTTGGAATGAACATGGGATTTGGGGTCCCAAGACATGGATTTATTTAGAGAAGTCCCTGCTCTGCCACTTAGCTACCTGTGTGACCTTGGGCAAGTCACCTAAGTTTTTAAAGCCTGCCACATTATTGTAAAAAAGTATTAATAATACCTCATGTCCTCTGTCACAATGAGATTGAATAGGTAATATGTGAAAGAACATTGTAAAAATATATAAAAATGTGAGGTGTTATTCTTCCTCTTTTACTTTGCCCTAACAGTCTAGAGAAGTAGAACAGATCTGCAATATAAGATTTATTATATTTCTAGGTGAGAATAACCAGTAGTTCCTAATAGTCAGATAATACAAAGAATGACATAGTTAACACACGTGAATTGCATTTCCATTTGAAGTATTAACACAGGTTGGAAGGGATTTTGGTTGACATTTGTAATTGAATTTATATATAGTATTACAGGGATAAAGTTGGTTTGGTCAACTTTGAAGCATGCAAAACCAAACTCGCCTGTCATCTAAACTGGCCCTGTGTGGGGCTAGCTTCTACTATTAAGTGCAGTCTTTGGGGGATAGATGGATATCCTCATTTTGTTGAAAGTTACATAAGCTTTTGCAAAAGGCATTTTAAAAAATATGTATATATTGTTGCATTTGTCGTGGGTATTACATTGTTTTAGATTTGTAAACAGTGGTAAAATGGGGCCTTGTAAGATTGGAGTATTTTGGTTGAAGCTGGGGGTAGAATGGACCCTGCTTTTCTAAATTTCTTGACAGTTTGGTCTTATTTAAAGCAAATCTTAAGTATATATCCAAGCTAAAATAATATTGACTCTGGTACATTTTAAATGAAAAAGCACATTATTCTCCCCTGTTAATCTATTTTTGGAATGTGATATTACTAGACTGCCATAAAGAAGAATAACCCCAGGAAGTACCTTCGCAGTGTAGGAGATGGAGAGACTGTGGAGTTTGATGTTGTTGAAGGAGAAAAGGTGAGGATGCTTTTTGTGTAAAGGTTTGACTTCGGTATGGAAATAATTTGGAGATGTCATTCGTTAAGCTGGTGGCTCTAATGTGGATGGATGTGTTCAGGTGAACACAGGTGCATTAAGCCTAACGTACTGGCTGCAGTTAGAGGGCAATCTCTCAGAACAGTGAGGAGCGGATACTGAGTCATTTCTGTGGCCACGCAGACAAGCCCCCTTTCCTTTTCTTTCTTTTTTTTTTTTTTATTTTTTGGCTTTGTGTGAAATTTATTGAAAAAGTGTTCTGATTTCCTTTGTCATTATCAATATATGATGGCTTTTGTAGGGTGCGGAGGCAGCAAATGTTACAGGCCCTGGTGGTGTTCCAGTTCAAGGCAGTAAATATGCAGCAGATCGTAACCATTATAGACGCTATCCACGTCGTAGGGGTCCTCCACGCAATTACCAGCAGAATTACCAGAATAGTGAGAGTGGGGAAAAGAACGAGGGATCGGAGAGTGCTCCCGAAGGCCAGGCCCAACAACGCAGGCCCTACCGCAGGCGAAGGTTCCCACCTTACTACATGCGGAGGCCCTATGGGCGTCGACCACAGTATTCCAACCCTCCTGTGCAAGGAGAAGTGATGGAGGTAAGTTTCACTTTAAAAGGATCAACAACAGTATGTGATAGAGCTTTTGGTAGGACCATGTTTTAACCATTTCCTAGAGTTCTTTCTCTGTATTGGAGCTCTTAATCATATGGAAAGCACATATGATTCCTAATGAGAACCAAAAGGGTTAATTATTTATAGTGTGGTCACTGTTGCTATAGTGGACTTGGTGTTCTTGTATTCAGACTTTGGATTTGTCTGGTTGGGTTTTTCCTCTTATGCTACTGACCTAGTAGGCTTGATTTTCATTGTCTTTTCAGGGTGCTGACAACCAGGGTGCAGGAGAACAAGGTAGACCAGTGAGGCAGAATATGTATCGGGGTTACAGACCACGATTCCGTAGGTATGGTCCAGATTAACCTGTTTCTACTTAATAAAAACTCCTCAAGCCTAAATTAGGACTGAGCAGAGTCACTTATCTGTTAACGCACACTTTCTTTCATTAGATGCCTAAGAGGTGAACCAGAAGTCAGTTAACCTTTGATAATGTGTTCTTTTGTGTCTTTGCTGGCATTGTTTAAAAACAGCTTGTATAGATGAGGTCTACTTTTATGCCCTTTTTTAAATGAGGGTGTGGAATTTCACATTTTGTGTCCTTGAACAGGTAAGAGAGTAGTTTAAACCCATCTTTTGAAACTGCTTCCTTGGGAGGGAGAAAGGTAAAGGTAATCATCCAAGCATTAGGAGTATCTGATTTGCACCATTTGTAAGACCTGCTGGGCTCAGGTGATCCTTCCACCTTAGCCTTCCAGGCAGCTGGAACCAAGGGCTTGTGCCACCATACCTTTTTTGAAGAAAAGCTCCATGAGCCGAGCGTATTTTAGAGCATGCTGTGATATGTTTTGAAGCAATGTTCTTAGTTCCACAGTAGTAGGATAGAATAGTATAACAGTTATTTTTTTGAGGGTCTTGTGTCAAAGTATTGAGTTTTCTCATATGATTCTTAAAGCTGACAGGTATCACTCAAGAATCAAGCCAAAACAGTAATAACACTTTATTTAAGAGAGTCTTGCTCTGTTGCCCAGGCTGGAGTGCCGTGGTACAATCAGCTCACTACAGCCTCCACCTCCTGAGCTCAAGTGATCCTCCTGCCTCAGCAGCTAGGATTTTAGGTGTATACTACCATGACCACTTTTTTTTTCCCTCTCTATAGAGACAAGGTCTTACCGTCGCCCAGGCTGGTCTCAAACCCCTGTTTCAGGCATTCCTCTTGCCTCCACCTCCCAAAGTTCTGGGATTACAGGCGTGAGCCACCACACCTGGCCTTTTTTTTTTTTTAAGTTAAAGAAACAAGTTCTGGGCTGTAGATGTGCAGAAAGTCTCCAGAATATGTTATAACTCTACAAGAGGGGAGGTTTCTGTATACAGGCTTTACATATTGTACCAAAGTTATAGCATTCATTGTCATAGTCATTGACATTTTAGGAACTAGGGGACCCACCTGAGGTTATTGCTTATATATCAATTTATGTACATTGAGAATTTTGCGAGAGCAACCAGTGTTATGCTTTTTCATTTGTATTAATGTATGTCCTGTCCTGAGTTTTTAAGTAAGAAGAACTGGGTTGTAGCTGTTCACTTCAGTTGAAGATTTCTAATTCATTGCTCAGAAGATTATATTACCCAGGTGCTGGACCTGGATGGCTTGAAGATCCTGACAAATTGTTGGATATTATTGATCTTGAGCTGTGGGTCAAGCTGTTTTAAATCTAGACATTGTTGTTAGAATATTGCAAAACAGTATCATAGTATCTTTTTTTTTTGAACTAGACCTGAGATAGACTTGCATAGTGTCCATTCCATTGTCTGTAGGTGCCAACAGCAGAATCTTTAAGTTTACCTTTTTTGTTGCATTGAAGAGCAGCTTAAATCGACTGCCTAGTTTGAATGTTTATAATAGTTCGCAATGCCAGATAATTACTGCAATAACACATAACTGCTTTGAAGTTGGCAGTGATCAGTGAATGTGACTTTTCCAGACTGGACAGGAGTCCTTTGTTCAAATAAGTAGTAAATGAAACCTGCTGCATGGAGTGGTGGGGTGAAATCCTGATGGAATCCTGATGGTGTGATCCAAGAGCAAATTGAAAGAGAAATCTTCAGACAAGGAATATAGTATAGTAGGAAGGAATATAATAGGAATTTTGCTGAAAAAGAGACAAGATGGTAGTAAGGGGAAAATCTGGGGTCAAAAAAAGTTTTGGTTGATGAGACAAAACAGGCAAATGCAAAAGATGATGACAAAGACAGAGAAGTTAACTCAGAGAATTGTTTGGTTCACAAGTGGAAGTGTTGGCCTTTTGTTAGGAACTTGGGCACTTTTATGTTTAAGAAACCAGAGTAGGGCTGGGCGTGGTGGCTCACACCTAATCCCAGCACTTTGGGAGGCCAAAGTGAGAGGATTGCCTGAGCTCACAGGTTCGAGACCATCCTGGGCAACTTGGCAAGACCTCATCTCTACAATCAGTCAAAAATCAGCTGGGTGTGGTGGCCCGTGCCTGTAGTTCCAGCTATTTGTAAGACTGAGGCGGAACAACCACCTGAGCCTAGCAGGTTGAGGCTGTGGTGGCCATGAGCATGCCACTGCATTCCAGCCTGCGTGACAGAGTAAGACTCCAACTCAAAAAGAAGAAAGAAACCAGAGTATATGGGCACAGATGTGTTAGGAGGAACCTATAGTAGTCATTGACTGCTAAGTTGTCAATCAAAAAGAGAGGTTTGGGACAAAGATGTGAAATTATCTGTTGAAGAGAACTACATAGAATAAATTTATAAGTAATAGGGTGATGATGATCATAAATATACACTGAATCCACCCAGCTTGGCTCTATTTTTCCAGCCATTTGAAGAAGCAGGCTCAAGTTGGGCAGAGATAGATTTGTTTGACCTTGGCTTATTTATCCAAAGGAAGACACTGAGATTTAAGAAGGAAGAAAATATTACAGAGATGTGAGGGGGTATTTTTTGGAGTCGGAGTCTCACTCTGTTGCCCAGACTGGTATGCAGTGGCATGCTCACAGCCATTGCTGCCTCTGTCTGCTGCAGCCTCTGTCTGCTGGACTTATGTGATCCTTCTGCCTCAACCTTTCAAGTAGCTGGAACCACAGGCATGTGCCACTACACCTGGCTAATTTTTTGATTTATTGTAGAGATGAGATCTCACCGTGTTGCTCAAGCTGTTCTCGAATCCCTGAGCTCAGGCAGTCTTCTGGCCTTGGCCTCCCAAAGTGCTAGGATTACAGGCTTGAGCAGCCACGCCCCACGAGATGTGAGATTAATGGGTGATAGGATCACTGTTTATAGGTTCTAGTGGAAATTGGGGATGGGAGGACAAGAACAAATGAACTAGGAAAATCGGAAGGGGCAGGAGCTTGCAATAGAGAACCCCTGGTAAAAAACAGTTGGATAGGAGATCAACAGTCAAGAAGCCCAGGTTATGTACAAACTGTCCTGGAACTGTTATAATATCTGCAGCAGTAAAAGGACAGTAAATGGAGCAAAATTCAACATTCAATTGAAAGCTTAAAGTTAAGAAACTAGGAAAGATGTTTGTAAATCCAGTGATAAGAGAATCAAACAGTTACCACTTGTGGGCTGCAGAGGAAAGCCAGAGCAGTTTTGCTGAATATGAACCATGAGTTCCAAAAGATGTGAGAAAAAGGGGATTTTGGAGAAGTTCAGATTGGTAGATTGGAGGTTTTTTTGGTGGGGAGGGTAGAGGTAAAAATGGAATGGACAGAGGTAAATATGAATCAGAGCCTGTGATAATGCCTGTCCAGAGACTTAACTGGGGTGCTGTGAGTATGGATGAAAGAAGGGCCAAGAATACATCATTGTCTTTCTGACATTACTAAGCACCAGCAAAAAACCCAAACCCTAATATACTTTCCCTGGTATTAAAAGTCCTGATAGCTTCAGTTTCAGGCCATTCAGGATAATATATTGTGGGAATGTACCACATAAACTCTTTTCTTTTAATTTTTTGAGTTGGAATCTCACTCTGTTGCCCAGGCTGGAGTGCAGTGGCACACTCACGGCCACCCCAAGCATCGACCTGCTGGGCTCCAGTGATCCGCCTCAGCCTTCCAAATAGCAGGAACTACAGGCATGTGCTACCATGCCCAGCTAATTTTTTATTTTATTTTATTATAGAGATGAGGTCTTGCCAAGTTGCCCGGGCTGATCTCAAACCCATGGGTTCAGGCAATCCACTTGCCTCGGCTTCCCAAAGTGCTGGGATTACAGGCTGAGCCACCAGGCCTGACCATCTTTATTTTCTAAAAGGTATACAACTCAGTGGCTTTTTAGTATTTTCACAGAGTTGTGCAACTACTGCTGTCTTATTCAACCCAACAAATCCATTAGCTGTTGCTCCCATTCTTTTCTACCCCAGCCTCTGGCCACCATTAATCTATTTTCTATCTCTAAATTTGCTTATTTTGGATATTTTATATAAGTGAACTCATACAGTATGTGGCTTTTTGTGTCTTGTTTCTTTCACTTAGCACATGATGCTTCCAAAGGTTTTAATGTCGTAGCATATACCAATGCTTGATTCCTTTTTATGACCAAATCACATCCCATTGTATGCGTGTACTACATTTGGTCTATTCTTCAGTTGATGGACATTTGGGTTATTTATCCTTTTTGACTATTGTGAATATGAAACATTGACATAATGTGTACGGGGTTTTTTTGGATAATCTCTTCAGTATATATAGGCCTAAGCGTAGAATTATTGGGTCATGGGTAACTCATTAACATTTTGAAGACCTGCCAAACCTTTCCAGAGCAGCAGCTGCACCATTTTACATTCCCATCAGCAATATATAAGGATTCTAATTTCTCCCCAGCCTCACTAACGCTAGTTATTTTCTGTCTTTTAATATATAGCCATCGTAGTGGGAGTAAAATGCTATCATTGTGGTTTTAGTTTGCGTTTCCTTGATGACAAATGATTGCTGTTTGCTTTTATTTGTATAGAGAGGGCATCTTTAGTTTTCTACACGTATTCATTTGTAAAGGTTAGTAGCATCTGTAATGGTTACCATATACCCTTTTTAAATGACACCAAAATGTTGACACTTTCCCACTATTAGCTATTTTAGGATTGATTTTGTAATAGCTTGTGCTATGAGCAAAAGTTTGCTAGTCCATCAAAACCAGTAATTGCTTGCAGAATAGTTGATACAGAGAATGGTCAGATATTGGTACTTAAATGGCATTAACACTGGTGACTGTGTCCGAAGAAAGGTTTTATTCTTAAGTTTGACAATGTTCATCCCAGGGGCCCTCCTCGCCAAAGACAGCCTAGAGAGGACGGCAATGAAGAGGATAAAGAAAATCAAGGAGATGAGACCCAAGGTCAGCAGCCACCTCAACGTCGGTACCGCCGCAACTTCAATTACCGACGCAGACGCCCAGAAAACCCTAAACCCCAAGATGGCAAAGAGACAAAAGCAGCCGATCCACCAGCTGAGAATTCGTCCGCTCCCGAGGCTGAGCAGGGCGGGGCTGAGTAAATGCCGGCTTACCATCTCGACCATCATCCGGGTAAGTAAGCCTAGAGGGCGACCTGGCCTCAGCATGGCAGTCATGAGTGGTATCCGTCTCATTTTATTAATTCAAGAGGGGAGACAATGCCTATCAGGTAATGTTAGCCATTTTCTTTGTAGTGTTTTTTCACCCTAGTCTAAAAATTACCTAAATACTGTTGAGGAGTATTTGCCATATTTAGCCATCAGCCAGTTCTCATTTCTGACCCTAATGAGACCTGTCTTTACATTATATATTTTGAATATTAGGGCCTGGGCCTTTGTCAGCTTTCCTGAATGAATTCTGTGATTTCACCAGTAAGCCGAGAAAAGTCTTGCTAACCTTACTGGGAGAAAAGTGTCAACATTGATGTTCTTTCCTTAATCATTCATAGACTTTAATTGGCTTGTTTTTGTTGTTGGTAAAGGTGAGAGCTTTATATTGTTTTTTTAAAATGGGCTTAACACTTAAGAGAATGAATGATTCCTGCTTTATTTAAAATGCCTGTAGATTAATATTAATTGTTATCTAGCAGACTAGTGATATATTTATATTCCTGTTACTGTAGCTTATTGGCTCACTTGATTTTGTTACTTTTAAATTCTTAAACATAAGCAATTCTTTTGCGTTTCCACTTTTTCCATGATACTGAGGGACTTGTAGTTGTCTCTTTGGCTTTGGAGTTATCTCTCAGTGTTGCTTTTGGTTTTTTTCCCCCTCTATCCTTTCTGCCCATCCAGAACTCACAGTTAACCTTAACACATCAGTGTCCACCCTGTTGTTAAGTCACTGTCTACATTAAACCAATGTGAAATTGGTTGAGGTTTCCTTATACATAGCCGTGATCTGCTAAAAGAAGATTGGGGCTGGACACGTTGGCTCACACCTATAATCTCAACTCTTTGGGAGGCTGAGGTGGGAGGATCACTTGCCTAGGAGTTCAAGACCAGCCTGGGCAACATAGTGAGACCCTCCCCACCATTTCTGTTTAAAAATAAATAAATTACTTTTTAAAAATGAAAAAGAATTGGGTGTGGTGGATTAGGCCTATAATCACAGCACTTTGGAAAGTTGAGGCAGAAAGATCACCTGAGCCCCAGGAGTTAGAGGCCGTTATTGTGCTGCTGCACTCCAGCCTGGGTGACAGAGTGAGACCTGACTCTAAATAAATAAATATATAAATAGTACTGAGTTCTACATGATAATCTTTCATTTCTTTTTTCTTTACAGTTTAGTCATCCAACAAGAAGAAATGAATATGAAATTCCAGCAATAAGAAATGAACAAAAGATTGGAGCTGAAGACCTTAAGTGCTTGCTTTTTGCCCGTTGACCAGATAACTAGAACTATCTGCATTATCTATGCAGCATGGGATTTTTATTATTTTTACCTAAAGACGTCTCTTTTTGGTAATAACAAACGTGTTTTTTAAAAAAGCCTGGTTTTTCTCAATATGCCTTTAAAGGTTTTTAAATTGTTTCATATCTGGTCAAGTTGAGATTTTTAAGAACTTCATTTTTAATTTGTAATAAAAGTTTACAACTTGATTTTTCAAAAAAAAAAGTCAACAAACTGCAAGCACCTGTTAATAAAGGTCTTAAATAATTATCTTTGTGTATATTTCTGCCTAGTTTTGTTCTTAGATATTGATAAGACCTTAGCTTAGCCCAGTCTGCTAGATGACACTCAGTGCTAACTCTCTTAGGAAAAATATATTTAAGAAGTGTAATTGGTTGGGCGCGGTGGCTCAACCTGTAATCTCAGCACTTTGGGAGGCCAAGGCAAGAGACTGCCTGAACCTGGGAGTTTGAGGCCAGGCTGGGCAACTTTGTGGGACCTCGTCTCTACAGTAAATCCCAAAAACTAGCTGTGTGTGGTAGTGTGTTTCTATAGTTCCAACTACTTGGAAGACTGAGGCAGAAGGATTGCCTGAACCCAGCAGGTCAAGGCTGTTGTGGCCGTGAGCATGCTGCTGCACTCTGACCTTGGTGACAGCGAGACTCCAACTCGAAACAAAGTAATTGTTTATTAAGTGACATACCTGTGAGTTCATATTAAGGATCGGAAAATCCATATTCTGATAATCATCAAAGATGCCCTCTTCAAAGTATTGTAGGACCTGCCACTGAGCCTGGTGTGCTCAACAAACATTGTCTCAGCCCTTTATGTCATAGAATTGGTAACAAATACTGTAGTGCATGTGAGACTATACTATCTGCTTAGGAACATGGAGATTGATGAAATTTGGTTGTTTTTTGTATCCTCTCTTGTATCATACGGCCATAGCTGTAGCAGATAGGTTGTTGGTTTTAACCAGGGCTTTGCCTGGTGAATTCAACAGGAAGGAAAGAGCAAAGGTATTGAAAATGAATGCAGTTGTGTGGTTGACACTTAGTAACCTTCCCATTCCTAGGTACAGAATTGAACCCTGAAGTGCCAAAGCCAATAAGCATGGCATTATCTGACTAGAATTGGTGCAGGGTGGGCAAGTGACTCAAGTTAGCTTGGAGAAGGAATAAAGTCCTGTGTTGCAAAGCGATAGGGATACATTTCTTAGGAGACTTAATTGTGCACTGCATGTATTGTACTGAATATTGTAAGCAATTGTGACACAATGGTGTAGGTATTTATGTATCTTAATATGCTGAAAGTATAGGAATACTACAGTATAAAGAAAGTATGCTGTGTAAGGTACTTACCTAGGTAATATGAGTTTTCAACTCCATTATCTTTTTTTTTTTTTTTTTTTTTTTGCAGAGACGAGGTCTTGCTATGTTGCCTAGACTGTCTTGAACTCCTGGGTTCAAGCAGTCCTCCCACTTTGGCTTTCCAAAGTGCTGGAATTATAGGCTTGAGCCACTGCACCTGGCCTATTTTATTTTTTATTGATAATATTTGCAGGACTGGAGTTTACTCTGGGTGAGTGAGTAATGAGTAAATGTGAAAGCTTAGAATATTACTAGGCTTTCAGTACACTTTGGCTACAGTAAATTTATTTGAGTTTGCTATAAGTTAACATTCATTTACTGTAATTAAATTTAAAAGAAATTTTGACTTGTGGAAAAACACCTTTTTTATTTTAATTTTTATTGTTTTGGTTGAGTCTCTAGTCCAGGTTGGAGTGCAATGGCATGATCACGGCTCACTGCAGCCTCTACCTCCTGAGTTCAGGTGATTTTCCTGCCTCAGCCTTCCAAATAGGTAGGACTCCAGACATGCACTACCATGCCTGGCTATTTTAAAAAAAATTTTTTTTTTGTAGAGACAAGATCTCGCTATGTAGCACAGGCTGGTTTTGAACTCCTAGTTTCAAGTGATCCTCCTGCTTTGGCCTCCTAAGGTTTTGGGAATTCAGGTGTGAGCCACCGTACCCAGCCACATGGGAGTATCCGTTACCTGCATAGAATATGTGATAATCAGACCAGGGTATTTGGGGGAATCTATCACCTTGAGATTTACCATTTCTGTGTGTTGGCACCATTTCAGGTTCTCTCTTCTAGCTACTTTGAAATATACATTATTGCTAACTATAGTCACCCTACTCTGCTATAGGATGACAGGACTTATTTATGTTTGTACCCATGAACCAACCACTCTCCCAGTCTCTGCTATCTATCCTGTTCTCTGTTGTGATCTCCATGAGATCTAGTTTTTTAGCTCCTGCACAGGAGTGAGAGCATGACTTTCTGTGCCTGGCTTATTTCACTTAACATAGTGACCCCCAGTTTCATCAATGTTGCTGCCAGGATATTATTTTTTTCTTGTGGCACAAGAGTATTCCATTGTGTTATACATACCACATTTTCTTTATCCAGTCATCCGTCAATGGACACTTAGGTTGATTCCATACCTTTGCTATTGTGAATAGTCATGTAATAAATATGCGAGTGCAGGTATTCATTTGATATGTAGATTTCTATTTCTTTGCAAAAATAGCCAGTAAGATGATAATAGTTCTTTTTTTTTTTTCCCCCTTCGAGCTGGTGTCTCTTTGTCACCCAGGCTGGAGTGCAGTAGTACGCTCACGGCCACCACAGCCTTGACCTGCTGGGCTCAGGTGATCCTTTCACCTCAGCCTTCATAGTAGCTGGAACTACAGGTACGTGCCACCATGCCTGGCTAATTTTTTGTTGTTGTTAGAGGTGATATCTTACCAAGTTGTCCGGGCTGGTCTTGAATCTCTGAGCTCAGGCAATCTTCTCTGCCTCCCAAAGTGCTGGGATTACAGACATGAGCTACTGCAACTGGCTTATAATTCTATTTTTAATTATTTTGAAGAATCTCCATACAAGTTTCTGTAATGGTTGTACCAATTTACATTCACATCAGTGTGTATAAGAGTTTTAAAAAGATAACTAGTGTCTGTTATCTTTTTAATAGTAGCCATTCTAACTGGGGTAAGATGATATTGCATGGTTTTGATCTGCATTTCCCTGACGCTTAGTGATGAGCATTTTTTCACATACTTGTTGGCATTTGTATATCTTTTCATTCTATTTTTTTTTTTTTGAGTCTCACTGTTACTCAGGCTGGAGTATCTCTGTCCCATATGATCTACAAGAATGTTTGTCACTTGAGAAATGTCCTTAGCCCACTTTAATGGAATTATTTGCTTTTTTGTCTTTTTTTTTTTTTTTTTTTTTTTTTTTTTTTTAGTGTTGAGTTGTTTGAGTTACTTCTATAGTTCTGGGAATTAGTACCTTGTTGGATGAAATGTTTGTAAATATTTTCCCCCATTCAACAGGTTGTTTATGTGACTGTTTCCTATGTTGTACAGAAGCATATTAGTTTAATGTAGTTCAATTTATCTGTTTTTGTTATAGTTGTTTATAACTATGGTCTTAGTCATGAAATATTTCCTGGACCACTGTCTTGAAGATTTTTCTCTACTTTTTTTCTAGTGTGCCATAGTTTCAGATCTTATATTTAAGTCTTTAACCTATCTTAAGTTGATATTTGTTTAAGGGGAGAGACGGTGGTCCAGTTACATTTTTTTGTATATAGATATTAATTTTTCAGCACCATTTATTTATTGAAGAGAATGTTTATTCCTTGGTGCATGTTCTCGTCACCTTTATCAAATACCAAGTGGCTGTAATTATGTGGATTCTGGGTTTTCTATTTCATTCTATTGGTCTATGTGTTTATTTTTATGTCAGTACCATGCTGTTTTGATTACTACAGCCTTATAACATTTTTATGTCAAATACTGTGATACTTCGCTTTGTCCTTTTTGCTCAGGATTTCTTTGGCTCTCTAGGCTCTTGGCTATCAGTGTTTTGTAGTTTTCTTTGTAGCGATCTTTCATTTCCTTAGTAAAATTCGTGGGTATTTTTGTTATTGTAGCTATTGTAAATGAGAGTGCTTTCTTGATTTCTTGGCTAACTCGATATTGGTGTGTAGAAGTGCTTCTGATTTTTGTATGTTGATTTTATATCCTGATACTTTACTGAATTTATCAAATCTAGGTGTTTGGAGAGTCTTTAGGCTAAAGATCATGTTATCAACATAGAGGAACAATTTGACTTCTTTCCTAATTTTGATGCCTTTTATTTCTTGTCTGTGTGCTCTGGCTAGGATTTCCATTATGATGTTGAATAGGAATGGTGAAAATGAGCATCTTTGTCTTGTTCCAGACTTTAGAGGAAAAGCTTTCAGCTTTTCCACATTTAGTATATTAGCTGTGGTTTTCTCATCTATGGCTTTTATTATTTTGAGATAATGTCTTCTATTCCTAATTTGTTTAGCTTTTTTATGAGAGAATGTGGAATTTCATCAAATGCTTTTCTGCATCTATTAAGATGATTATATGGTTTTTGTCCTTCATTCTATTGATGTGATATATCATGTTAATTGGTTTGCATATGCTGAACCATCCTTGCATCCCTGGCATAAATCCCACTCAGTCTTGGTGTATTATCTTTTTTATGCTATGTTGGGTTCAGTTTGCTAGCATTTAGTTGAGGACTTTGTGTCTATGTGTAAATGAATATGAGTGCTCCAGTGTTCTGTGAATATATATTTAAAATTGTTATATGCTCTTGCTAGATTGATGTCTTTATCATTATGTAGTAACATACTTGGTTTTTTTTCTTAACTGTTTTTTATTTAAAGTCTGTCTTATCTAATATAAGTATGGCTCCTCCTGCTTGATTTTGGTTTCTGTTTGCATAGATTTTTTTTTTTCGCCCCTTTACTTTGATTCTTTATGTGTCTTTGCAGGTAAAGTGTGTTTCTTTTTTTTTTTTTTGAGTTGGAGTCTCACTCTGTCACCCAGACTGGAGTGCAGTGGCCGTTCCTAGCCACCGCAGCCTTTACCTGCTGGGCTCCGGGAATCCTTCCGCCTCAACCTTCCAAGTAGCTGGAACTACAGGCATGCACTACCACACCCAGCTAATTTTTTTATTTATTATAGAGATGAGGTCTCACCAAGTTGCCCAGGTGGGTTTGAACCTGTGGGCTCAGGCAATCCACTCACGTCAGCCAGGTGTGTTTCTTTTAAGGTTATTATTGACGTGAGGTTTTATTACTGTCATAATGTTTTGATTTTTGATTGTTTTGTATATTTTTTGTTCCTTTTTTAGTGGCATACTGTATTAGTACTATTTGC